GCTTTTTGGTCTTCGACGAATAGAATCAAGCGTATCTAGACCGCTTCATTTTGTGTTCAGATTTTCACTTGGAAACGTGTGGTTTCATTCATCGTACACTTGGAGGGCTGGGAGGCAATTCTCCCTCATCCCGCCTTCATTATGTGTGCCGACGCCAGTCGGCTATGAGAGCAATCCGCGAGCAACGCCAACGCCAAACATGCCATCCGAACAAACGAAAAGAAAGGCACCGCAGACCGAATCGTGAGGTCTAGAGATGCAACGCACCGAAAACCGCCGTACCCATGCCCTCCCTTTTTTATCCGACGCCTACAGTCCCCATCCAAACCAATCAAAGCCAGCTCTTCCGGTTCTGCAGCCTCTGATACGTCCCGGCCGGCTGCGGCGCCGACAGGTTCGGCGTCTCGCCGACCTCGGTCCCCTTCCACTTGCCCTTGACGGGGTTCCCGGCGTGCCGGAAGTAGAAGTGCAGTGGCCGACCGCCCGGCCCGTCGCGGCCGCTCGCCATGCCCATGTGCGGGTGCTGGTGCTGGTGAGGACGGAAACCGCTGGCCCCCGCGTAACCGCCGTTGCCGTTGCCGTTGCCGCCCCGCCCCAGCGTCGCGTCCGAGTCCTCGGCGTCCGTCTCGGGGCGGCACAGCTCGTCAATGTCGTCGTCGGCACCTCCGGGCCCGCCGTGGTCGGGCGACCCCACGACGCGCCAGGGCACCGACAGCGCGCGGCCCTCGACGCCGGAGCCGCAGTAGCCCGTGAACTGGTGGCTGGGCGGCGACATGAGCGCGACGGCGAACAGGTTGGCGGGCTCCGAGTAGTCCGTCGTCAGGCGCATGCGCCACGAGAAGACGAAGAAGGCGAGCGAGACGAAATTGACAACCACCACGATGGCCAGCACCACGTAAAAGACGCCCTGCCACCGGTCCGCGTGCGACGACTGGTACCCTTGCTGCCGCACGCTCGCCTCGAAGGCCTGCCGCGCCGGCAAGCCCAGCGCCGGCTTGTCGTACTGCCAGTCCGGGCCGAAGGGCGTGTCGACGGCGCCCATGACGAGCGTCGAGCTGAAGAGGACCGCGAGCCCCTCGGCCATGCTGGGCCGCAGCACCGGCATCCCGAGCGGCCCCCCGTCGTCCCGGGGCACCACGGCCAGCTGCGTGAGCAGTCGCGCGTTGGACGCGTTGTTGTTCTGCTCGCCGCCGTTGAGGTTGACGGCCAGCTGCATCTGGTCCGCCACGTTGCGCCAGTCGCCCCGGGGCCCCCACTGCTCCTTCCGCCTCTGCGGGTCCGGGTTCATGGCGTGCTTGCGGTGATAGGCGTCCTCGTCGTCGGGGTCCTCGCAGTGCGCCGTCATCCGCCCGCCCTTGATGCCCGAGACGTCGAAGCGCGTCGAGCAGTTGGGGGTCAGGAAGGACTCGAGCTGGCAGAGCGTGTAGTTGGCTGTCTTGGGGCTTTTCCCAAGCACGTACATGGCCTTTTGCGCCCAGAGCGCAGGGGTGGCGTTGGTGACAATGTTGTAGTCGGCCGGGAACATCCTAAAAATCGGGGGACGTCGCCCGTGCTCCTTGCCCCAAAGGAACAGGTCGTCCACGATGGTGGTGTTGTAGTACTCGTCGTCGGACAGGGATGGAACACCCTTCGCCCATGTTGTGATGTTGCCCATTGTCTGGTTCCCAACGCCAGTCTTGACAGGATCGGCGTGGGGCCATTCCGTGTAGACCAAGGGGGCCAGGTCCTTTTTGCTCATGTCGACACATTTGACGTTGACAGCCGGAGAAACCACCGACGCCCTGAGGGAATACTCCCCGACGCCGCCCAGATCTTTAGGTTGGGGTATTCCATTGAGAGGATCGGTTGCAGCAAAGTAAACTCCTGTCAAGGTGGGCGTGTCAACATGGAGAGTATGGGACAATTTGGTTAGAACAGGCGGGACATGGTGACTAACCTGGATGCGGCATCGCCAGTGTGACCTCATTAATGATCAGGCTGTGCTTTTCAAACTCACTAGAGATGTTTCCCTTGTCCGTCTCGATCCATGCCGAGACCAGTGTGGTGTTCGGGAACAGGTTCGCCGTGCCACGCGGCCTTGACCCAAGGTGCTGCGCCAGGTTCGAGCCGTTTGAGCTGATAATCTCCCATGCCGCCCTGTCTTGCTGTTAGAACAGTTCACAGGCCGGGTGGCTCGAGAGCAGTTGGCTGGCACTTACATGAACTCCATTAGATTGTGATATGCTTCAAGTGGCAGTGGATGAACTGTTAGCCAAGACTCGTGGTAGCACAGATGCCACGGTTGCGCCAAGTACTAACAGGTTCCGGAAAAGTGCACATCGAGGCAGCTGTCACCGCTTTTATCATCGTCACTACGAACAGGAGTCTTGCACTGCTGCTTCATGTAGTTGGGATTGGCGTAACTGGCAGCGATCTGCCCAGTCAGGCTTCTCTGGCCCCAGCTGCCAAAGGCGAGCTTGGGCGAGACCATGGCGTCCGAAGCCGTGGTGTAAAAGGTGGCTCCGAGGGTGGCCAGCATCGCGATGAGTCCAAGGATGGTCCGCGCTGTGTAGCGGACCGAGTCGTTGCGGGTGAGCAGGGTGCCGGGTTGCTAGTGTATTTCGAGTTAGCCCACGTCGGCCACGAGACGCACTTTCCTCAGCCCGCAGCCGGTACATACAATGACCATATTCCTGAGCGTCAGCTCGGCCAGCGTAACCCCCTGGTTGCGGCCGCTGAGGGCTCGCCGGCTGATGACCTGGCCGAGAAATGTCACAAACACGGTGATGAAGGAGATCTCGATGGTCTTTGCGATCAGGGCGCTGACCATGGTCGCGTTGGCCGGCTCAAAGGCGCCGGGGCCCGAGCCGACGAACTTCCACGTGGGTTTCAGGCAGGCGATGACGAGCCAGGCGACGCTCGCGCAGGTCGAGTACAGAGAGAGGAGCAGGACGGTAATGGGCCAGCCGTCGCTTGGCCGCCTCTCTACCTCGGCCGTGGAGAGGCAGTTGCGCGTCACTCGATCGTCTGAGGGGTGCTGGTATCAGTATCATACGCCAAGTCATTGAAGCCGCTCCTGTTCCTTTCGGCTTCAGAGCAAGAGGGTGACGGAAGGGGCCTCATACGATACGTGTCCATAAAGTGGGCATCGGCGAAATCTGTGCTCTGTGAAAACCCGCTGTTTGGGTAATTATAAGGTCCTGGCGGCGCGGCAGGCGCATATACACCAGTGGCGTACATGCCCTCTACAGGATTCCCACGCTGGCCGTCCCGCGCGCCGTCGTACTGTCCGGTGCCCAAGTCGACCTGCTCAAACGCAAACGGGTTGTTCTTGTTCTCGGACGCGTGATGGCGCTGCTGCTGCTGCTGCTGCTGCTCCACCTCGGGCTTCTCCGAGACGAAGCGGACCTGAGATGCCGCCGGCGACGGGCGCTGCTCATCAATAGCACCCATATCTCCCGGGACGGCAGCGTACTGTGTGGAGGAGGCGTGGCGGTGGAATCTCGCCGAGGTGGCGGATCTGGGGCTCGAGAGCAAAGGCCGGTCCGGGCGTGGAGCTTGGGCGGGAGAGGCGTAGGGCGACGAGGTAGCGGGATCTGGCGAGGCGTAGCTGGCCGACGGGTGCATTTCGATTCCCAGGGCGTCTGACACGGCCGACACCTCTGTCAGGTGCTCAGATCCTCCGCCGTTTCTGCTCCAGCTTCCGGTGCGTCTTTCACTCTGTGGTGCTGTTGGCTGCCATGCCCGGGCGGGCGCGTTGGGGTCCTGGTCCATTCTTGCGGGGGAAGGCACTTGGTTGCTCGAGCTCTTTGGTTTGCTCAGGTTTGTATCCGATGTGTTGGAGCCGCCCGACACATTGGTCAGGATGGCGAAGCTGTCAGGGACCAAGCCTGATGCTGCAGCTCATGAGATGATGAGAGATTGGGGGGGAAATGGCGGCGGGATGAGAAGGCCGGGAAGCTCAGGCGCAAGGCAATAAGGCTGGGGTCGTTGAATTGAGCGCTCCCGCTGGCGCGGGCCGGGATATGCAGACGAGATCCGCAGCGGGTGTTAGTTGAGGTTGTTGCTCGTTTCAACAGCGGCAGGGCGGGCAGGAACGACCCCGGCCGCTTTGCTTGAATTCGTCGCCAACAGCTAACCAACCGCAGGGTAAACGGCCACAGCCACCGCCAGGTGGGGAAGGGACAGATGAAACAGTCGCGCCGACGTGTTGGATCTCGACGGTGAAGAGATCCGGCGAAGCGACAGATCAGTGTTTAAGGGTAAAAGAAAACGAAAGACTGGGGATCGAAAGCTATCAGCCCGATCTGTGGGTTCTGGCCATATCTCACATCTGCGACGAGACGGGTTATAAAACCAGGTGGGGATGGTGTGGGAGAGCAGCAATGCGACATTGATATTACGGGGCTACCGCGAAGGGATAGAGGCCGGCCTGCTCGTGTGCGAGGAAAGGCTGGGAGGAGCAGAGAGTGTGATGCCGCCGCCAAGAGGTGAGCTGCATCCGGAGGCTTCAGACTACTGCTCAAGACGGATCCGTTGACGAAATGAGGCGCTCGATGGGATCAATTGTCTCGAGCCTGCCTCTGGCAGGCCACAAACCTCGTCCATGCCAACCTGAAAAGACGCTGCCTGACTTACATTGAAGCCGTGCCCGCCCTCCATCGCCACGTGTGTCCCCCGGCAGGATTCCTGCACTTGACATGGCCGTCCACAAACGAGGCCACCGATCCAATATTGATCAATACCTTCCTCCGCATAAGGTTAAAACTTTGAGCAAGGTCGGGAGCATGATTGTGGGCACAGGGGAGGCCTGGCCGGTAGAGCACCGGCGAGGCACGACGGAAAGGGCAGGGAGAAGGTGGTCAGCCCAAGACGTGCGTGGGGTGTCCGACTTGGCCCCCAAAACCAATGATGGGGAAGACAGCCTGCTGTGTGCGTCGTCTCACCGTTCTCTTCATGTGGCCCCATCACCCGTTAGCCTCGCTTGGCCTGCGGTGACGGTCAGAGATGGGATACACAAGCGGGCAGAGGGGGGAGGGAGAGAGTGAGAGAGAGAAAATTAGAGCAGCCCAGGCCGGTGGTAAGGGGCAGTGCCTGCAAACTGCACAGCAGGGCAGGCTGAGCACCATGCATGGCAACCCTCCCATGCGTGCCATGACGACTTGTGGGCGCTTCCCGCATCAGGAACGTCGAGAGCAGCAGCGTTGGCAGAGGCTGATGTGGAGCCGCCGTTGGCGTCCCCATTGGCCCGTGGGTGAGGGTTGTTGGTGCAGCGTCGCACGCGACGTGGAGAAGTAGTCCCCCCCGAAACCGCGGTCGCACCTCCCTCCCCTGCACTGAACTTGAATGCCGTCTCTTTCTCGCTTCTGCGTGTGTGCGATATTCAAAGCCGCACTGCCCGATGGAGGAGATAGGAGATCCCGAGATGGTGCGTGGCTCATTTGGACCTGTTTCTCGCCCGTGCGCATGGTCTATTTCCGGCCCGCCCATGTGAGAAGCTTGCAATTTGGTGGCTCGCTGGGCGCGAAGATCGCATCCGTTACGACGCCTGGTGTCGGCGCCACCATGTGGTCCAAGACGAGGAGAAGAAGCAAGAAAAAAATCCGTCGTTTGAGGGATAGTAGAACGCACAGACCACATGTCGTGGGCCGTAGGGCGGAAGAGCGGGCTTGCGGACGGTCCGGACCTTTAGCGCGACAAGCGGCCACGGCTCGCCAAGTGGCTGCGCTCTCCTATTCGCTTATCAGCCTGCACCATCTTCTATTTTTGCTGGCCTGTCAACGGTGGGCGGGATCCAAGAATCGGCACAAGATACGCACCTAGACGTAGAGATTCTCTCGTGTAGGAGCGCCATCCAGAGAATCCTGCCATGGCCTCAAAATTCCTTCGAGCGGTTGCCCAACAGGAGGCAACTCCGAACGCCACTGCATGTGGTGGCGGACAAGGCCAAACACCAACCCTGCAAGTCACAGGCTCCGGTGCTCCTTTGCGACACCCCGACGTGCTCCAACGGCTCGGCGGGCTCCAGGAAACCACAAAACAGCCGAACGTGGCCGTGCTGGGAATCCAGACCACCGCCGGCGCTGATGACGTGCGTGCTCGTGGGTTGCCCATTACGATTGCACCGCGACATGACAGCAGCGTCGCACAGCCTCGAGATCGTCCGCAAATCCCTCACTCTTTCGGCCGGTGTTCCACGCAACGACTTGAGGAAAAATGGCTTTGGTATTTTCAAACTTTTTTGTAGTTCCTTGTTTCTTTTATCGCTTCCCTCTCTCTACCATAGCAAAGCGCATATCATAATCTAGTCCTCGCTGGCAGACTAAGGCCTATAGCTAGATACATCTCTGGTCAGCTATTACGTCTGCAAGCCCATCCAAAGCATAAAAATGTGCTTGGTGGGCCAATGGGCACCCCGTCTGTTGACTGAGATCCTTGGATATATATATAATAGCACCGTGGGCTACCGGTAGCCGTCGACCTCTCGCTCGGTCGACTTTTCTCCCGGACCGCCCCATGCCTTGGAGCATGCTGGCGAGGGTCAGGATAGTCCAGCCAAGATTGTGTGAAGAGGGAAATCGCGATGCATCGTTCCCAAGCCTAGAAATAGGACGGGCCGTTCTAAGCCTCTCATTCTCGAACAGAATGGTAGAAATGGCCGGCCAAGAATATCGGCTCCCGACCGAAGCAGGCCCCGTGGCCTCGCTGCTGTCAGCCACCTTGCGGCTCGGCTCGGCTCGGTGGGGACGGGTGTCTGCAGGTGGCACAGCTTGAGCAAGATCAGAGGGAGAATGGTGCACGGACCGACGGCGGCGCAGGACGCGCAAGCGTGTGTGCGCCGTGATAGCTCGGCCCTATCTCCACCAGCCGCCCTTGGGTATCCACTACCTGCCCGCAGTGGCTATAGCAGGAGCAGGAGTAGGGGCTGCAGAGGGACCGGCAGGCGTTGGTGCATTGCTGACACCAGTGCCGACGCCGCCGCCGCCGTTCACAACAGCGGCCGATCTCTGGAACTCAAGCACCTTGTCCCGGATAAGCGGCATGAATAGGTTCTCGGCCTCCTCGTACTCCTTGCGCTCTACCTCGCCGGCCGGCTGCATGATGCTGCCGTCGCACAGGCCTAGAACCCGGTCGATGGCCGACAGTAGCAGGGCCTCGGAGCGGGCCTCGCCCAGCTTCGACTTTAGCGTGTCCACCCAGTGCGTCTTGAATCCCGTCAGTGCCGATATCAATCCTGGATCTGCGAGGCGCGGGAATTTCTGCTTGGCCGTGTCAAACACTCCAAGAATGATCTTCTCAAATCCAGCGTGCTCGGCCCCGGCGAGGCTTGATGTTGAGAGACCGAGCCCCCGGTTGATCACCGACATGGCCACCAGCTCGGCCGCTTTGGGCAGCCGCTTCTCGAGCTGTGATATCACTTGGACCCTGAAGTTCTTCAGGAAGTTGGCCACATCCGCGTCGATTGCCGGCTTGAGCGGAGGAGCGGGAGGCGGCTGCTGAGCCATGTGTTGCCGCTGGTGTGCGTGACTGGCCCCTCCGTTGACTGCTCCCGAGTGCGGCGCGGGGGCGTGTGGCCCCGCGCCCGGAACACCGGCCTGCGGTATTCCTGGGTGACCTGCCTGGCCATAACCTGCAGCCGGTCTCGGGTGACCTATGGGAGAGACGTGCACTGCGTTGGGCGCGGCATTGTGTACTCCGCCCGGACTCGCCGCTGTTGGGAGGGAGGCAGGCGGCTTGGCAGGATATGATGCATTGTACGAGCCCGTTGGCCCACCCATCTGCATGTGTCGTTGACCGCCAGCCTGCATGTACCCAGGCAACTGCGTAGGCGTTGGGGTTGGGGCCTGGGCTCCGGGAGGACCCGCCTGTCCGTGTGGAGGTTGGTAAGCCGGCCGTTGTGCGGCGGGTTGGCCAGCAGCGACCCCGGGAGGGTGCCGTACAGGCTGCCTCTGCTGGCCCTGCATGACGGCGCCGACCTGCGGCAGGCCGTGGGTGGGCGAGTAGCCTGGTGGGGGTCCTTGCCCCGGGTGATATCCCTGGGCGGGCTGGTACTGCGGGTGAGCCATCTGTTGGGTCCACTGGGTGGCGTGCATCTGCGTTGCTGGGTGATCGGGCGAGGCTGCCTTGCGCTTCTTCCCGGCGTCGAGCTCGATGCCGGGCACGCGGCACCACAGGTGCGTCTCCTCGTTCTTCTTGAACGCGTCGTTCCCGATGAGGTTGTGGCGAACACTGCTCTCCCAGCCCTTGGTGTCCACGACAAAAAAGTAGTAGGGGTACTTCTTCTGAATCCGCTTGTAGATCTGCTTCAGCGTCAGTCCGTCCGGGGGCGCTTCTGAGAGCACCTCGTCTATCAGCACGCCGTAATTCTTGTTGGGCTTCTGTAGTTGGTCCTCGGTGAAGTCTTCCTTCTTGAGTTCCAGGGGAGGCGTCTTCGGTTTCTCGCGCCGCTTCTCCTTGACCAACTTCTCCCCATCCTCGCCGCCTTCGCCTTCCTCCTTGGGTTTCCTCGGCTTGTACTTTCGCTTCTCTGGTCTGTCCTCGGCACCCTCTGGCAACGGATGCTTTCGCGGCCTGCCGACCTTTCTCTTGATCGGAGGCTCCCCTGGAACGGGTGGCGGCGCATTACGCTTAGCCTCCTCCAAAGCAATTTTGCGCAGGAGCCTTTCTTCTCTCTTGGAGCGGATGCCGTTTTTGGGCGGCCGCCCTGGCCCGCGCTTCTTCTGCGGCATCGACGGGTCGAGCACAGGACCTGGTTGAGATACAACCTGAGCACCTGTCTCGTCCGTCTCGACGGTTTCCATGACGTCGCCGTCATCGGGCGCGTCTTCCTCTTCCTCTGCGGCTTGATTAGCGTCCTCGTCCCCATCGGAATCTTCACCGTCGCTCTCCAGCACCTTTGTGGCTGCAAGCTCCTCGACTTCGACCTTGTCCTCCTCGTCGCTCGAGTCGCGAATGTTGTCGCCATGAGAGCTTTCAAATTCGAAGCTCATCTCCTTGCCTCCCTCAGAATGACGCCGTTTCGGGGCGTCTTCGTCTTCCAGCTCCTCGGCACCTGTCTGGCCATGGGGCACACCGTTGATGATGAAAACAAAGTCAACGTCCTTGATCTGCAACCTGTCGCCGCTCTTCAAGACCACACTCTCCTGCTTGTGGTGCACGTCTTCGTGGAAGAAGCCATTGGTGTGGAGCGGGATGGCCTCAAACACTCCCTTTGCTTGGTGGTACTCGATCTTGAGGTGCTCCCTGGAGATGGCCTTTGTCTTTGCCGCAATACCGGGCCCCGGGGAGTGGATTCCAATGAATGGGACGTGATCGGGAGACGGCTTCAGGAGCTCCAAGTCGACAACGGCGGCGCCTGGCGTGTGCGACACATATTGCCTGTTAGATATTAGGTCCTGACTGCTAGCCCCCGCACCTATCGAATCATGGCCGGTAGCCTGCTCAACTGCAATGCTCTGCTGGCGCTGTTGCTGGTTCTGTTGCTGATTGTGCTCCCTCGGCTGCTGTGAGCCCGACCCTGTGCTCGTCTTGCGACGCTTGGCCGCCCTCGGGTTGTCGTCGCCGTCCGACTCGGGTCCCAACATGCCACCCTCCTCACTGACGTAGGACTTGCTGAATTTTCCCTTGTCGTAGGTCGGCACGGGCGGGGGCGGCAGTCCCTGAGCAGCGCACTCGTCGGCTCGTCTTTGGTACTCGTCGGCGCGACGCTCGTCGCGTCGCGCCTGCTCCAAGGCGCGCTGGTCGCGCCCGATGATGACGGCGTACGTGGTCATCTGGAAGACACTGTCGGCAAACTCTATTCGCGCAAAAGATTCCAGGCCTTGGCTGGGCGGGACGGCGGCGGGTGTACGGGCGTGCTGGTTCCCATTGGGTGTGGTCAACGGGTCCCGGAGCTCGTGGAGCTCGTTCATGGGCGTCGGCAACGAGACATCGCCCGGGGCGACGGTCGGAGGAGGGCCGACCTGGCGGCTGTTCAGGCGCGTGGTGGCCGAAAGGCTCGCCAGGGCCATCATCAGGCTAAACTGCTGGGGATCCATTGGATGGGCACCAAAGACATCCAGGGCGGCGTTTCCGTTGGCGAGGGCGTGGTCCACGATGCCATGAGCCAGGGGGTCGTGCTTGATCAAAGAATCGCCGATCGGGGCTGCGGACTGCAGGCCGGGCTGTGGCGGTGGCGGCTGAGACGAGGGTCGCCTTGTGGGCGTTTGCGGCTCCTGTTTGACTTCGAAGGAGGGCTGAATCGAAGACTGCATGGGCCCGTCGGGGGCGGGATTGGGTTCGAGATTCGGTTCGGGATTGGGGTCCGAGCTTGGCTCGGGCTTCAGCTGGTCGGGCGGGAGTGCGGCATCTGGCAGCTGGTCGGGCGGTGGTGGTGACGGTTGTGGTTGCGGTTGCGGCGCTGGCGGCGCAGAGGCTGGCGGCGGCTTGGCGTGGTGTTGCGGGTTCGTGGTCGCGACGGTCGGCGCAGGACGGTCGTCCGGTTGGCCGTCCGGGCCAACTTGGGACGAAGTCATCGCTGGTCGTTCGGGGTCGACAGCTCCTTCGTCTCTGTTCTGGCGGGCGGCAGTACGCAGCTGCGACGCGAGCAGCAATTGCCTGAGGGGATAAACTCGGGTGCAAACCAAGCGGCGATCCGACTAGCACTGTACTGAGCCTTCTGTTTGTCGTTCACGCCCAAGCGGGCCCAGAAAAAGTTTAGCTCACCGACCGACGCTGCTCCACCGCGCCCCTGGTAACACGCAAGGCTCTGATACTGATTGGCCGGAGCCCCCGCCATGGGGTTCCGGCCCCACCAGCCTTCTCATCCAGCAAGTGCATCCAGCAAAGTGCCTGCTCTTGAAGTCGTGCAACGCGCAGCGGGTTGCACGTCGTGCGTCCTCATGGAGCGTGGCTCAGTGGCTCTTTGTTGCTTTTATCCTGTGATATTTCTGATAACCCCCCC